TTTGGATTATAAACACAAGTTCTGTTTGTGTTTTGCCAGATAAATCTTCAAAGGTACCGTTGGGTACTAAGGCGTCTAGACATAGCACTCAGGGTTTTTCAGCTCCAAACGAGTCTTCCAAGATCTGAATGTTACAAGGGCAGAATTCTATTTTTACCGTACCAGGTATTCGTTTACCTAAATATAATATTTTTCAAGTACTAAACTTCAGTGTTAAAAATTGTTTCCGCTCCACAAAAGAATAGTGCATTATTTTGTCCGATGTTTGTACATTATAAGGAAAAGATTCCGGAAAATAAGTTCTGGGTTTACTCGCGCGGGTTTGGCATCAGGGACCGAGAAAGATGCAAACGTTTAGAGTTATTGATTTGCCAGATATAGAAATTCAGTTGCAGCAGCTGCGCTCAGCTGCTGGTGTTTTTATCAGTTAAGAAACTGGACATAAGACCATGTCGTTGTAGACTCGCCTGGGATGGAATTTAAGCCTACGTATAAATAACATGATTCTGATGCATCTTGCCTTCAAAATTCATATCCGAATGACTCCTAGAGAAAAAGGTGATTCCATTTGAATTCCTACCGGTTTCATTGCTGCCTCGAAAAATTTACTGAATGAAATTTTGTTCTTTCAAATCTTTAGGATGTGCTTAATTGAAAGACTAAGGCACCAGCTAATAAAGAGCTAATTTTCAGCTCGAAAGGTAACTATTTTATATGCTATGCTGTTCGTTTATATTGTTATCTTAGGTTACATTAACGTATTATACGTATTATAATATGTGCATTATATTCCATAACATTTTATATTATACTGTAGTATAGTGTATATGTTATCATGTTATATTATATCTGATAGTATATAGTGTATCCTATTATACTATATGCAACTACTTTCATACTGCGTTTAGAGCACCAAAAACGTTTTTTTACCTGGTAACGCTGGTGATAGTAGGCGCAACCCATACCATGTCTATGGATACCGCAGATGTGNCCTTGGTCGCCCAGAATTTGGATTATAAACACAAGTTCTGTTTGTGTTTTGCCAGATAAATCTTCAAAGGTACCGTTGGGTACTAAGGCGTCTAGACATAGCACTCAGGGTTTTTCAGCTCCAAACGAGTCTTCCAAGATCTGAATGTTACAAGGGCAGAATTCTATTTTTACCGTACCAGGTATTCGTTTACCTAACCATAATATTTTTCAAGTACTAAACTTCAGTGTTAAAAATTGTTTCCGCTCCACAAAAGAATAGTGCATTATTTTGTCCGATGTTTGTACATTATAAGGAAAAGATTCCGGAAAATAAGTTCTGGGTTTACTCGCGCGGGTTTGGCATCAGGGACCGAGAAAGATGCAAACGTTTAGAGTTATTGATTTGCCAGATATAGAAATTCAGTTGCAGCAGCTGCGCTCAGCTGCTGGTGTTTTTATCAGTTAAGAAACTGGACATAAGACCATGTCGTTGTAGACTCGCCTGGGATGGAATTTAAGCCTACGTATAAATAACATGATTCTGATGCATCTTGCCTTCAAAATTCATATCCGAATGACTCCTAGAGAAAAAGGTGATTCCATTTGAATTCCTACCGGTTTCATTGCTGCCTCGAAAAATTTACTGAATGAAATTTTGTTCTTTCAAATCTTTAGGATGTGCTTAATTGAAAGACTAAGGCACCAGCTAATAAAGAGCTAATTTTCAGCTCGAAAGGTAACTATTTTATATGCTATGCTGTTCGTTTATATTGTTATCTTAGGTTACATTAACGTATTATACGTATTATAATATGTGCATTATATTCCATAACATTTTATATTGTACTGTATTATAGTGTATATTTTATCATGTTATATTATATCTAATAGTATATAGTGTATCCTATTCTATTATACTCAACTACTTTCATACTGCGTTTAGAGCACCAAAAACGTTTTTTTACCTGGTAACGCTGGTGATAGTAGGCGCAACCCATACCATGTCTATGGATACCGCAGATATGGTCCTGTATATCATTCTAGCTATTACATTCAATTCAAGTAAACCCTACTAATAGCAAACCACAATTCTTATTCGCGGTCTCCATGCCTCATAGACACTAGTGCATCCCATCAATGAGTGCTTCTCAGGCAGATTTCTAACTGCAACTGTAAACAAGGTGGCACAAGTAGGCAACGCTGTGTAACAGATAACAGTGTTTGGTAATGAATACTAAATATATTCAAGCTAGTCTGAAGCTTCAGGAGAGTTTTTGCTGCTGTGGAAGGTAATTTTGTCGCCTTAACTCTATAATTCATCAGGCTAAATTTGGGCGTTATTCATCCTGTGCATAAGATATCCGTAAGAGATTTGATAATCCATTTGAACTAATCTCTTCGTTTTGTTGTGTTCAACGGTTTGAAACATTTTAAGCTGAATAAATCCTCTAGTTTTCGGATATTTTTTGTTTCCCAAGGCATTGATTTTCATTACTTTTGATTACAACCGAACAGTAGATTTCGTAGTTAAGTACCGTAGATATCCCTAATAGAGTGATTGCAATCCATACGTTGCATGAATTGTGCAATTACAGATCGGCAATGAGCTTCTCCACGCAGCCAAATAAGTGCGGTAAGCTGCCGTTCTGAAGAAAACAGCATCATAAAACAATTTTATCTCCAAAGAATTGGCGTTTAGAGGAGACTTGGGGTTGTACGAAATATCTATCAGTTCAGATGTTTGCATCCGACTGCTTGACTTTCTAATTGTACCAAATGCTGAGAATCAGGTTGTTACTGGCGAAGGTGAAAAATCATCCCCAATCTACTGCTCCAAAAATTTAGCGCATGGGCCAAATACCAATTTGTGTGACATTTTCGTTTCCAGGATAAAAACGACAAGTCCCAGTAAACAATGTTTCCAACAAAGGTGATAACTGATTCACAGAAACCATACATCTTAATTTTTCTACGTAGCATTATTGAAACCAGATCTACCGTAGAGAGGTTGAATAACAACGCCATTTCAACTTTGCATAATAGTATAGTATGTTGTGTAGTGCAACATAAAATAACGATATATCTTTTGTGAAACACAGGAGCGTACAAACAGTGTATCCTTCACAGTCAAGGAACTACGTTAATTTCGGAGACCTCCTACCTGAATCAGGCTTACAACAAGAGTGATATATTTCAGCTTGAATTATCGTATTATCAAGTGTGCGTGATAGCAACGCTTGAAAGCTGTTTTATTTTAATTGACGACACCTTGCCTTACCTGCTGCAATTTCAGTCGGTGGCCTTAAGCATGCCCTGATAAACTCAAAGTATACATGTTCTCCAACCTTACCTCTCCCCGGATAGATCTGTTCCGGGGTTGGTCGCCAAAATGTCTGATGCACAATAAAAGTGAGGAAACCTATACACCGATCAAGCAAAGGCCAAAATGTTAGGGTCACCCGTTGGATAGGTGTTCATTTCTAAGGTCAATTATTTCCCATAGTACCTTTGTTGTTTCGCAACATTGCCCTCAAAAGATGGCCCTGGGACTTTGATGCAACAGGGGCGCACTTAAAGAAACACGGATGTATAAAGCAAATGATGTGTAGAACAGAGGATATGGACAAAGTACAAACAGATGCTACATTCTTTCCACGAAAGATGATAGAAAGGATGACTAGTTGAAAATACTGGGATTCAGCCGAACCCCGAACGCTAGTGAAAAGTGGCCAAAGTAGTGTTCGCGTTCTGTGAAGCTCATGAATGCAACGTTATGAAGGATAACGGAACAGTCACAGGCTGGCTGGGAAGAGTTTACACTGTTTCACAGAATATACCTATATAGTCTCCACAGACGAAATATGGTGAAATGGCCCGAAAATAACTTCCATAATATAATACGAAAAGATAGTTTTTTTTATCGTTTTGGTTGAATTAAATAGATAGTTTAGCTGCGGCGGTTCTCAGCGTTTAATCTTGTATTGACGTTCCAACGCTTTTGCAAAAAAATGGATGTGACGTAATAGCGCGCGTAATATTCTAATGCCAAACCAATGGGAGCTGCTTTTATGCTGTCAACTAAATAAATATATATGACTGTTCACTGCCATGCATTTGGAACGGACGAACTAAATGGACGAAGCATATTCACATCTTTTTGTGAGTGAACGAATTGGACACAAACAAATACCTGTGTTCTTGCCACCAAAGAGCTTTTTGGTTTACAGAACAACCGACTACCACTGGAATCTTTGTGGTACCGGCATGTGCAAATGCCTCTCAAACCGTGCCATTGAGATAGTGAAAACGTATGACAGTCCACTACAAGTACCCCTTCTTGCGACCCTTCAGGTAGGCCTCGTCACCGCGTCTTAATTATTCTTGCTCAGAATATGAACACCAAATTGAACGAACACAGTACTGGGACTCACTTGCAAACTGAGCAAGTGTTGACGATCCACTGAAGTGGAACTAAATTGAATCTATCATTCGTGATACTCTTTCACTTAGTGTACTGGAGGTGGCTGTCTTGCATTACCAGCAAGCCCAGAATTAGATTCGCATACTTGTTGCATGCATCACGGATTATCAATGAGACAATAGAATACAGCATGATACAGTCACCCTACAGTCGCTGTAAGCATTCATCGTTATATGTCTTAAATGTTTATGTGTGATGAATGGAAAAGAGTTGTTTCTAAAAATAAAATACCCTAATGTCCGAATAAGTATGGAGACCATATTTTCAGAAGATTAAATCCCAGTTTATGAGGAGTGGAATGTTGTTGTGCGTTCATCTTTTATCAGCGGCTGGGGACTGCTAAAGATGCCGTCTAATGGGAGGATAGCTCAGGGGTTTCTTGCGTTACTAACCATGGTGTTCTGGTGGTATTCTTGCCTATGTATGTTGACATATTACGTCCATGCCTCCTACCACCTTTGGACCTGTGCAGGCCACCGCACACCGGAACACACCGTGCGTTAGCCGTACGGTGGCACAATTCAAAACCGACCAATGACGATGGAGCCTAGCATCACACCGCAAGCATCACGTATGGTAAACTGAAATCCATAAAGCTGGTGCAATAAGCATATAAAATTTTTGCAGCCTGCCAGTGACACCCTCGGACAAAACTTTACTTCGGCACTGTGCGCCATGCGAGGCACACGGTACAGTGGATTCTTGTTCCTGTGTTTTTTCCTCCTTATCAACCAAAACTGTGTGGAAGGCTTTGATAAAATTTTTGCCTTTGAAAATGAGGCATCCAAAGATGGAGATCTGTCCATCGCGAAAATGCAATTACCAAACAGCCAAGAAGGCTTGTTGTTCCAGCTCCACACTCCCATTCACATCTATGGACAAGCGATCGAGAAATTCACGGTAGGTCCCAGGGGTATTCTTTGATTCGCCACATTGGCAACAAAGGTTATTGCCCCAAATTGATCTCAAATTAAAATCACTTTTTTGTTCGGGTTCCTCATTGTTGCTGGAGAGTTCTTATAAACAAAATCTCTCCTCCATAATAAGCCACCTCAAAAGTTGAAAGGAAAGCTATATTGTTTAAAAGCGTAACTTTCTGGAGAACATTCATTGATGAGTTGAGTTTCAAAAACAGCTTGCTTTGAAGGTGATCCTACCTACGTACGCCTTTCTGCAGGCAAATATGATTTGAAATACCTTTAGTTGTTGTTAGTTTATCATAGGTAAAAAATGACCAACCCGTGATGATTGAGTTCTTGTCCATGTAAATACGCGTAAGTATTGCTTTCATTTCTATCATCAAAGTAAAAAGTTGGGGCGACTACCAAGAAGGTCATTCCTTGGAGTTATGGATTGCCTAAGGGTCTTGAAATTTCTTCGAGGCTAACCGAGTATAAATGCTACCTTATATCCAATCTTCGACAGGACGATAACTGCACTGTGGGGTTTGCGGATATCCGCTTAAAATAACGTTTATATATTTATGCTTGTTAGGATTGAACATGACGAAGGGTCTGATGTATGATTAAGAACTTTCCATGATTCTGTTTGGTTTAATGCTACTGGAGAAGTTTCTGAAAACAAAATCTACTGTCATCCTCATGAAACGTGTTTGTTTTCTATTGGCACAAAATTTCCCTGAGGAATCTGAAAATAGATCAAAGCGTTTTGAAAAACAAAAGTCTAACATCTTACAAGCGAACATTCCAGAATATGGTGGCTTTTTATGAAAGGCCTAATATTCTGGATACTTTTTGGAACGTTCACGAAACAGTACTCTATTTCATCCACGTAGATTTCCGCAGCATCAACTGAATTGGGATTCTGTGACGCATTCCAAGCTAAAATGTTTTTAAATCAATTCCTGTTCAGAAAATTTTATTCAATAATCCCATTGTAACTGAAGCATTGGAGGTTTATCATCTACGTACGAAGATAACTTTTGTGAAGTAAATGTTTGTTTCGAAGTAATAGGCTGACGATAAGTTACTGACAACAATATCATCTTGAAAATATCAGTACGCAGGTCCATCCTGTGACCTACTGGCGACATCCATCTCATACAAAATGAATTTTCTGTAACCAATTTGATCACTATTATTGCTGCCGTGCATTCTGGCGGGTCGCAGAAGAAAGGGTCTTGAACATGAATAACTCTTCCCGCTCATATTTAACGCTCCATAGCTCTTGTTTCCGCACGATCTACATTTGTATCAGTCGATACGTTGAAGTCGACAACTGGTGTGTCTCTGGAAGAACAAATCTCTCAATGTCCATCATTGGACCAACTTTTGCAACGTGATGATGCAATCCTCACGAGATCTTAATGTGCACATCGAAGAGCTAATACAAGCATTTAAGATTAAGTTAAACGTTCTTCATGAACGGCGCAATTCATCAAGATTTGCTTTTCAAAGCGTTTCACTAAACAACTGTGGTGAACAGTAACTGTTCTAAAAGGGCAAATTTTCTAACAGGTTGTTCAGTTCAGTTGGTGGGAGAAATCAATACTGCTTTGATGAAGAACGGAAGACCGTGAAACAATATAGTGTCCTTGAGGCAAACGTCTTTGTGGATCAAAATTAATGATCTCCGCAACTAAAGAAAAAAAAACTAATGATAAACACAAACAAAAAATTCAGATTGCATTAAGGCCGCGTTTTGTAGGATTATCCTCCTAAACACACAGCGGTTCGCTTACCCTTTGTGTTGACGGGTATACATCATCATTAGTTTTCAACAGACTTAATTAGTCGGTGTGCGCAAGCCCGCCAGAGGGTATTCTGAAAGAATTGAAGTAATCAAGCGTTCAAAGTGGTGTGTTCTAGGACACGTTTCTCATTAATATTTTCCTTTGATTGGGTTGTACATACTTTGTCGTAATTTTTGACCAAATGTTTTGATAGTGGCCTTTACAGTACCGCAACGCCGAATGAATAATTGTGGTTTCAGTATGGTTACGTTCGATTTTTCGGCCTTGATATCGTGTATGTGATTTATAGTGCTTTATTTTTCATTTAAATTGTCCGTCTCATAACACTGTGGAATTCCGGGCCTGTGTAGACGTCTGCCATTGTCACTTTCCAGATTTGGTTGCTTCCTGTCACAAGCAGTTTAATTTTTGAGGTGTCATGGTAAATTTTACTAGTGGATTAATTTTACGATATAAATGACTTTCAAGTCAAGAACGCTCGGACGGTGATCTTTAAATACCATGGCAAAAGTTTGTTTTGGGTCTGGGATGTCGCAAGCATGAACATACTTTTCAGCCAAGGTAACTATTTCGAGCTTCTCTCTTTACAGGCATCCCGCATCTTGCGATGCAGATAAATTTAGCATCAAATTATTTCACGCTATTACTGTTCCCAAACACAGTTGCGTACCTGCACTGCTTAATAAAGACCAAGTTTGTGTATTACTTGAAAAGGGACGTACTATGCTACAGCTGTGAAATACTACGAGTGGAATGGTCCTGGCGATATATGTTAGAACCATCTGACGACAATCTTGGTAGGAAAGACGGCTTCCTGTGACGCACATTAAATAACTTGCCTCCGCGTACGTAAAGATCATAGTGTATGAATCTATAAATAAAAACGCCTAGCCAAATTCTAAAATTACACAGTTGAGAATGCTGCATGGAAGAACATCAGGTTAGTTTATTCCTTCGAGGTTTGCATTGAATTCAAGAACCAAGGGAACGAGACCTACGATCTGGAACATTCTTTTAGTGTGTATTTTGATCAACATGCAGAACATTGATCATACGCGGTCCTTAAATCCGCAGCCTTCCATACATGTTTCCCTAGACTTGAAATTTCGAAAGGTAGTCGGCTAGTTCCACAAATAAGGTAAATCCTTCACTACTTTATGAGCTTTGGAGACATATGAACAGCCTCAATCAGAGATACTTTGAGAATTTCCACACCTCCCTATTCGATTTGGACATGTACTTTAGTGATTTGGTACTGACAGATTTAAAATCTGCCCACAAGCAAACACTCAGGTGAGAGTTTTCTTAACTACGGACATCATAGTGTACACAACCTTATGGACCGTGTTCAATAGTGACACTGGATTAATCCTTGTACATGCATCTGTTAAGTGTTCACTCATATCATAACACTCATATTGTAACACCGTCTCCGAGCTTCGACGGTGTTGCACTACCACATGATTGACAAGTATGTAACAAACGCAAGGCCTCTGTTCCATGCTTATGTGTATGGGTGTAGTTGATCAAGACATTTGACCACATGATAATCACCGAGGAGTTTTTCTTCAGTTTTTAATTGTCACCATGTCTTGGCATCAGTGATAAATTGCGACTAAGCTCTTCAAATGTTTACCCTTAAGCTTGCAAGCTTTAAGTTGGGGGTACCATTCCGAAAACAGTCAGCGTCTTTATGCGAGCGAGCAATAAGATTTGAGGAACGCTAAGTATTATTGCCAGAGTTCAAGTCTTTCATTGTGCTTTACCTATTGACTTTATTTCCGCTGCTAGCCAACGTTATCTGGTGGGTGTACACGTGTTCCTCAGTACATACAGAAATGTTGAAAAAAAAACAGATTCTATAAAAATGTGGAGCATTTAGTGTCGTGATTGTAGCTGAGTGCGTGTGTTAAAATTCTGCTTAATCAAGCTTAACGGGTGTTCAGAATGAGTGAATGAATGAGTGATTATACTTTACATAATTTTTCAGGATCTCGCTTGCAAATTGAGATGAACTAGCTAATTATACACACATTGCCAGGTTTGTGTCGAATGTAATGCGTGGACCATTCAAAACATTTACTTCAGCTTGAACTGATGCCCGCTTTGGTACAACCCACATCATGACATAAGATGTACCCTAATTCCATAATCGTGCTACAGTTGACTACCAATCTAGTTTGACGAACAAGATGGAATTCTATTTTATGAAGCATTAAGATCACCTAGATTGCTAGGATTTACGTCGGCTTTATTATTAGGATAACTCACGAATATTACGATTGGAGTGCGTCAGTCAGCGTGATTGATACGCCTAGACGAATAATGCTTCTCTGACAAAGGCACACATCCCAACATTAGGACCAAACAAGAGCATGGCTTCAGCTTACATTGCCAGCATTACATTTTAAATTTTATTAACCAAAAAATGTTTTCCGATTTTTAATTTTAACCACTATGAAAACCTAACAACTCAAAGGCATTTGGAGCTAACCGTAGCAGCAATCTGACTGCAGCATTTAATACCCATTCATTTTCAGATCACTGCAATTCCTCTAAACTTAGCTCGGCGACCTAACCTAAAATCAACTACAAAAAATGACTGATGTAAGAAGGATGACGCTGAAGTGCCATTTTTCCGATCAAACTATGGTTTTGAAGTTGTCACATAAAGAGAAAAACAAAAGCAAAAAAGCCATATGACTTGCTTCTCAAAAAATCTAGAACGATATAAATAAAAAGGTTCATATTGGTGAAACAGTTTGTTAAGCAAGCAGGCTAATGTTGTGACCAAAACTATCTTGCGTGCAAACACCGATCTATGACCAAGAGTTAATTCTGTAATGTTGTATGGACCTTCCAAGTAACAGAATAAAATGTGCATCAGTTCAAGCCACTGGAGACGGGCACTTTGAGTAGCTGAATCATTTTCCTCAGGCCAACACGACTAGTTAGTTCGTCGTCGTCGGTTCTCTTTGGATATTTGTTTTTGAATTATATCAGAAATAAACACTATAGCTTGGTTCCTTGGACTGTCATCAGCTCCTAACATCACCAATTCATCCAAAAAAATGTACAAATTCTTGATATGCAATCCTGAGAATCAATGACTCGTTTTATGTGCTGTTGATGTCTCCGCGATCTTCATTTTTGCTATGAAATGTGGCCAACAACAATCACAAATTTG